TAAGCCTAAATTGACCAGCATTTAGACTTTCTGTGAAATCTGTAGTTTGTTTTCTCTGTTAAAAATTCTTTTGTAGATTCTGTTCTAGATTAGTCAGTGATAGTCTAACATAAAAATGATAGTTGTTGTTCACGTCGTTAAAATCACCAGAAAAGTTAATGAAGGGACCGGAATGATCTGTCACAGTCACTAGAAGAATGTCAACAAAAATGTCCATTTGTATTTTTGCGGTTTTCGTAGTTTCAATGTTAAAATTTTTTTCAAACAACTCATAATTATCTTCGTCTAGTCAGAGGTCGGTAAAACTAAAAAAAAACTGTTTATTAATTGTTACTGAATTATCAATAACTGTTATTAATTTTAACAGTCTACAGATAACCTGCTTCTTTTATTTTTAATAAAGTTTCCTTTTTCTTTTTACATTCCTCAAACAAAACAAAACAACAAAAAAATAAAAAACAAAAAAAAAGAAAAAAGACAAAATAAAAAATTTTTCTCCTAAATTTTAATTATTATTTTTTGAATTTTTATTTATTTTTCTTACCGAGTGGCTCTTCATCTTCCTCTTTTTTTTGAATAATTTTGCTTAAAATATTGCAAAATGCAAGTGCTGCTGCTATTTATGTATGGTTTATTGTGTTACTGAAAGCTTTAAACACAGTTAATATGTATAACTTTGTTGTGGTTAACAAATGACTGAAAACGAAACAAAAAGAATGATGACGGAAAAAAACTTGAAACAGATTTTAGAATGAATGCAAAACCTTTTATTTCTTACTTACTCTTCATTTTCTTCTGCTCCTTTTTTTCTTACTTTTTTTGCGAGTTGTAGTCACAGGTTTTATTGCTTGCATGCCGGCCTTGTTGTTATGATTATGATCGTGGTTATTATGATTATTATAATTATAATTATTATTACTATTATTATTATTATTATTAATATTATTTTTATTCCTACTTTTTTGCAGTTGATTGTTTGTGTGAAACTGGTTTGGCTAAATTATTATTTTTGTTATGTGCGTGTTTGTGTGTGTAATCATAACCAACTGAAGAAAAAAAAAATCGTAGTTGAAAAAATGAAAAAAAGATTTATCCGTAGTTTGCTTGTATATTTTCCTTTTTTTTTTTCTTTACTTTTTAATATTGCATGAATTTTCATCAAACATGTTTTACACCAGAACATCTGTGATACTATCCACAAATAAAACTGAGCTCACTGTGTGCTTCTTTGTTCAGTTAATTTCTTTTTTTGTTTTCATTTTTTTCTTTATACCTAATCAAAAGTTCACATAAAGTTCTAAATAGAACTTTTATTTTGCATTATCCTTCTGCTTTTCTGTTACTGAGAAAAAAACAAGCTCAAAAGCGGCTTTTTTTTGTTTCAACATTGTTTTGGCAAATTGCCACTTACAGTATTCTAGCTGAGAAGCTTTACAGTTACAGTTCTATACTCTGCATTATAGGCTGAATGAAAAAAGCGAAGAGAAAAAAAACAAAAAATGACAACTGAATTTTTGCTTTGCATGTAAAAAGTTACTGAATACAATAGGAGAATGCTGCTTAAACTGTGCTAAGTAAAAATTGTTGGCTTCAGATAACGATCAGCAAAAGCAGCTACAAAAGGTAGCATTTACAGTAAAGAAGTTTGTTTTTGTTTGGAACAATGGACACTGATCAATGAACTATAACTGCGTCCCAAATGTAGAAGTTTTTTAAAAACACCAAATTTTCACCAAATTCATCGACATTTGAAGCCCTAGCTATAGTGACAATGGTGACTTTTAAGTCACAATGAAGTCTATTGTTGATATGGTTACGAATTTTTGAAGTCAGTGTTCTTCTAGTTAGTATATCTTGCTGAAATTAATGCTTACTTTTCGCAGTAATATCTTTCAGCATAACATTATAGAAGATAGTGCTTGTAAGTTGAAACTGGATTTTTGCTGCTGTGGTACTGCAGTTCTAAATTTCTTTATTTTTTACTAGCTTTATCAGTGTTATATCTGCTATTTGTTGTTGGTGCTGATTACTGTTGCCATTACTGTATACTCATCAACCTCTAAAATAGTGATCGCATAGAACAATAGTTTTTAACTGATTCCTTTTGTTCATTTCAAAAAAACTGATTGACTGACTGAGTGCTGTTATAGTGTTTAATTTGCTTAATGTTTATTGCAGACAGAGGCTCCATTTATGCCAAAATGTCGTGGAGCTGGTGATGCATCAAACTTCGATGATTATGAAGAAGAACCATTACGGATTTCCGGTACAGAAAAGTGTGCGAAAGAGTTCCAAGAATTTTAAACTGAGCTCAGTTAGCATCGTGTCTAAAAAAGCCATTTATTCAACTGTTACTGTTGAATTTTGGGTTTCTTTTTTTTTTTTTGTTTTGAATTTGCTAACTGCAGAGCAAAGCAAAAGAAAAAAAAATACCTGAGGTTTATCCAACTATTTGTTATCAACAAAGATTCGAGTATTTTTCTTTTTGCTGCTTAAATTATCTTCTTCGTTTCTATTTAACTAGAATTTTTTCTCTTAATTAGCTTCTTTTTTTTGTTTTGTTGTACAAACTTTAGAATTATCGTTTATTATTTTTATTAATATTAATATTACTATTAATAATAATATTATTATTACTATTATTAATACCTTTGTTTGAAACTTTTTTTGTCTTTATATTATTTCTAGCTTCTTTTTTTTCTTCGAAGAAATTCAACAAAAGTAACGGAAGCAGAAAGAGGTTGGAAAGAAAACACTGAAAAACACATCTGAACTGACGGTGACAACAGTTTGATGTGGAAGCAATTTTAACTAATTTTTTTGTGCTGATCACTGGAAAAAAATTTTTTTTATTAGCTTTTATTAGTTAATTTTTTTTTTGGAATTTTATATATCTTAGAAAGTGACTGACAGTCGAAGGAAGCCTATCTGATCGATGTGTGAGCGCCTGTGGGTATATATACAACATGGAATGCAAATTGTTGTGGGAGATACATCAGATGGCGTAATTTTTTAAAGTGTTCTGGCTACCAGAATGTCATGCACAATCAGATGTTTTCCAGAATGGGCTTCCCTGACTTCTTTTACACCGTAGTATTCTTGAGAACAAAAAAAAAGTGGGAGGTTTTGATTGAAAGCTTGGAACAAAAAATTTAGACGTAAACACAGTATCTGGAAATATTGAAATGAAAAGCAAAACTTGTGTTTTTTTACTTGTCTACTTTTACTTACTTTTATCATCTTTCTGGCAAATGAACGCTATTCAAAATTTAACATTATTTCAATTTTGTTGCTGTGTTATTTTTTGCGTGTGTGTGTGTGTGTATAAACGCGCCGACGTTTCCGTTACAAATCCCTTCTCCTTTTTGAACTTTTTATCTTTTGGCCCTCTGCCAACTAAATTTTCAATTTTTTTCTAACACTTCTCTTTTATTTTACAGAATTTCCGAGTGACTTGACTTTTTTTTTGATATTTTTTTATTCTACGAGATGCTGTCGTCTTTTAGCTATTCTTGTCTAGAACAGTAAGAAGGATAGATGAAAGTAGGGAGGGAGATAACAAGGGGATATAAGTTTTACGGTTTTTTTTTGGATTTCTTCCAAGTGCTAATGTTTTGTCGCCAGTGATGCTCTTCCCTTCAGATGAAACAGTTTAACAAACCTTTTGACAGTGTTATATTTAATACAGAAAACAGTGTTTTGCTAAATTTTTCTTGCCCGGTGACATTTTGAGCACCAATTTTTTCTTTATTTATTTATCTTTCATTCTTTTTCTTTTTCTTTTTTTTCTTTTTTTTTTTTTGCAGATGTGATAGTAGTAGAGTAGTATAATTGGTGATGAATAAGAATGATTAGGTGCCCTCTACTTCTTGTCTTCTAAGCTGTCTAATTTGATCGGAAAGCGGTGTACTGTATGGTCTAGACGGCAAAAAAAAAAAAACAAAACAAAAAAAAAAACAAAAAAAAA